TGTAAGTATATATCTTAAAATTCAAACATAGAAGTGAAAGAGAATAGAAAGTCATACATTTTCTGAAAGGTTATCTGATTAGTTAGCTACTTTAATGATAAGGTCTGACTTTGCCACTTAGGTTTATACAGAGGACATTTCTCATAACGTGATGAACTAAATCTGTAGCCCAAATTTGACAAAAATGAATATGAAGCATGCGTTTACATAAAAGGTTTTACTTAAAATGTTATATAAGCAAAAGTGTGTTGAAAAGAATAGTATTCAACTTCCCAATTCTTTCTGAGTATATTAAGTTCTAACAAGGTCTCTCAAAGTAGATTATAATATATATAATTAAAAGAAGAGTCTTAGTAAAACTTATATATATATATATATATGGTAGAAATATATATATATGTATATATATCCCAGAAATTGAGAAAATGAAAGATTTTATTGATTAGGTAACAAATGTTTTTGCAAGTCAGGTGGTTTCTAGTTCTTTTGCTTTCAACATGATTGAAGGGGCACTTAATGGAGTTTTTAGGTGATAGATCATTTGAAATAATTGCCAATGATAGATCACTTTAAGACTTTTGACATTTAACTTAGAAGGAGTTAAAGAATAGAGTGACATTTCTCTATTAAAAGTCCTTCTATCTCATTTACTTAAGTAAACATATTTCCTTGGCACTTACCTCTTTAAAAATGAAAAATAGGAACAGACATGATGCTGAACCATGCATGAACTTTACATGAATAAGTAATATTCTTCATCAGACATAAGTACTAATTGAAAAGGCTAATCATCTCATTAAGAAGTGCAATTCCAATGAAATTTTACTTTTATTATTTAGGAATTGTTTATTAAATTGGCAATACATATTGCTGAGAAAAGTTAGTCTTACTAATAATGAAAACTCTAGAAGAATTTTTTAATACTTAGAGTTACAGTCACAGGAAATTAAAATTTCCATTTAAATTTTATTCATATTTTTAGTGCTAAGAAGTATAACCGTGCCATCAATAGAATACATTCAACCATAAAAATATATTACATTGGGATACAATTCTATAGTGGAAGAAAAATTCAAGGAAATAGACTTTTTATTGAAATATGAATTCAAGGAGAGAGATTATCAACATAAATTTCTCACTGTGAAAGAAGAACTTGAGCTTCTATTTTTTAAGTGGATGAGTATAGGTATAAATCACTGTAGTATTTAGATTCCTTTGGATACATAGAGATTAATGTATGATTTCTACTATTATTATTTACAGTCTGCCTACAATTATATACTCTATGCAACTATTCAAATTGATATCCATTAATATTACTTTAACATCCATTAAAATGTGGAGGGATACATAGTTTCTCAAATCTCCTTTAGGGGGTACAAAACAAAATGTTTGAAACCGTTTGTCTACACTGTAGACCCTATAGCATTTGGAGCCTGTGCTCTATGGTCTGCCCTTCAAAGCTCTTCACAATGGGATCCCTTTCTACCTCTCTCACTCTGTCTTTCCCACGGACCCTGAGCTCTAGCCTTGGCCAACTCTTCTCTTTCTCACAGCCAAGTCTTTAAAAATGCTGTTCCTCTCTTCTTGAAAGCATTTCCTGCCTTTCTCTGTCAAATAACGTCCTTTCATTCTGTTAACACTCAATTCATCCACGAAACTGTCACTGGTTACCAAGGCAGAGTTAGTTTCTTCTTCCCCTGTGTTTCCAAAGCACTGATAGTTCCCTCTATTATAACACTTACAGGTTGCCCTGACTAGACTGTTTTTCTAGTCATCAGGCTTCCTTCCTGGTCTGTAACTTCTTTTATTCATGTTTGTGTATCCTCAAGCTTCTGAGCACATAGTATGTGCTAATAACCATGTGGTGAATTAATAACAGGATCGAATGGCTCCTGTCTTTACTCTCATCTCCTTATTATTATCTTTTTATATATTTGTTATATCTTTTTTATATATTATTTTATATCTTTTTATATATTTCTAAATTAGCCAAGCCAACCATCCTGGGTCTCTCAACACAGTCTGCTTCCTCTCACCACTACCGCTTGGGCTCTGCTCACCTTGAATGCCCCAGCCTCTGTTCTCACCAGGAAATTCCCCAGTATAGTGGCTCTCTCATTGAGAGTGGCTCTCTCAAGAACATTGGCAGTTTGGAACTCACTGCACATTTACTCATAAAGACTCTGTTCTAGGTGATGGTTGGGTTAAGCCACAGACCCTAATCCGTCCAAATGTAGTGAAAATACTACCTATCAGCAATAAAATCAAATTCAGCTATAGAAAAGTGAAAACACTGTTGATACAGCAATATGTTTTTCAAAGACAACTTTCTGAGTTTCTATTTTAAAAAGAGTCACAGAGAATATGTCTTTACCCCATGGTCTCAGCAGCCAGAGTAGAAACTGACAGTAGGTATTTGTTAAATGCCTACTCTGATAGACAGCATATGCACTTTGTGTGTTGTATCACTTAATTCCCACAATGTTTTTGCTGGGTTTGTCAGGTAGCCTGTGGTGAGTTACAAACTACTCCGCGCTTATACAACAATCATTTATTAGCTCACAATTCTGTGGGCTCGCAATTTTGGGCTGAACACAGTTGGGTGGTCCTCCCACTGAAGACCTCCTGGGCTCACTCCTGCTGCTGCACTCAGCTGGTGGATGATGGAATGACAGGGACTGGATGATTTAGAATGGCGTCCTTCACAAATGTGGGCAGGCTGTTGGTTGTGGCACCTTGATTTCCCTTCACGTGGCCTCTCCAGCAGGCTGGCTCAAGCTCACAGCTTTAACATTCTAAGAAGGCAAAAATGGAAGCTGCAAGGCCTTTTGAGGCCTGAGTTCATATCTGAGTTCATGGTGCCATTTCCTCCATGGTCTACTGATAAAACAAGTTATAAGGCCAGATTCGGAGGACTGGAAAATAGATGGCCACGTTTAAGCATACCACACAGGTGAGCATTATTATTCCATTTGGTGGGTGACAAAATCTGGGTTCAGACAGGTTAACCACCCTGCCAGATACATCATCTCATAAGTCAGAGAAGCAGGACTTGAGCCCAGGTCTGTCTGACCCCCAAATTCTACTGTCTACCGTAACATAGCTTCTCCCTTCTCTCTCCTCCCTTCCACTCTGTCTTCTTCTCTTACCAACCTCCCCCCATCCATGTCCGGACTCTGAGACAAGGAAAAGGAAAGGATGAAGGTGTAATATTCATACTTGGATTGTGTGTTACCGTCTCTGATTAGTGACTACTATCGTAGGGAAACAAAGCTGGAAGGAAGGTGATTTTAAGTGTCTACTTTCATGCCTTTCTTATTTCCCTTTCTTTTCACCAACATGAGAAAGGCCTAGGAGAATGTAAACATGTGAAGCCGCATCCTCTGCTCCCACCCCAGCAGGCAAATCTGAGGAAAACAGTGTAGGTGCTTGAGGAGCAGCATTGTGGGGGGCGGGACGTACAAAGTCATGTGCGTCCAACAGGCACTCAGGGATCCAAACTGTGGCACGGCCCCAAACCTGTGCTCTACTCCTCCCTGAGGACCAGAACACAAACAAAGGACTTATTTTTGATTCTCACTTGTCCTCATACTTCTTTCCTTCACACACCAATTCATTAATAAACTGTATTGGATTAACCTCCACAATAGATCCCACATCTGTCTATTTTTCTCCGTCACCACTGCCACTTGTTACTCTCTCTGATCCACCATCATCTCTCTCCAGGACCAAAACGGCCTTCTACTTCATCTCTCTGCTCCCGTCTTTGCCCCCTAAGTGCCTTCCTCCCCATCACAGCCAGCATGATCATTTACGTCACAGATCAGATAGCAGCAGATCCTTCCGCAAAACGCAGCCATGGCTTCCATTGTTCTCTGGAAAAATCCCTGGCTCTTTTGTAGTCTACAAAGCCCATGAAACTGGCGTCTTCCTTTCCCTGCACTTTATCTTTCACCATTGGATTCTGGTGCCAGGATATCCTAGGTTTATACCATGAAGTGAGCATCAGCTCCCCTCACCCCTTACAAAGATTGGCCCCAGATCCTTATGATCCTTTCCATTATATTAGCCTTTATGTGTGTGTACTCTCCTGAGAAGCCTTCCCTATTGCCTCTAGCTAAGAAGGTTTATACCACCCCATCGTCATCATCCTCTGCTACTCAACCCTGTTCCTTTTCTTCCTAGCTCCTAAATTATTTATAATTATGTGTTTGTTTACTTGTTTACCATCCCTGTTCTCCAATACAGTATCATCTCTAAGAGGGCAGGAATCATATCGGTTTGTTTTCAGCACCTACTCAGAGCCCATCACAGTGCCTCCATCTAGAAGGGACTCAATGTATACTGCGTTCCAGCCCTAGCTCTCCTTCTAACTAGCCACATACTTGGTAAAGTAGCTAACCTCTCTGAGCCTCTGTCTGCTGGTCTGTAAAATGAGAGCAATAATTCCTACATCTATGAGTTGTTGTGAAGTTTGAATGAGATGATAATGTATGCAAAACACTTTGAAAACTGCAGAGCACACTCTAGCCATGTGATGAATTATTTATGTGTCCGTGTAGGGTCAAAAGGGAAGTATAGTCATGCTGACCTGTCTCTGATGACTGCCAAGTGCTTTCTGGGCTTTTTAATGAAGTGTGGGCTTTCCACAAATGGGAAATCTTTTAGCCTTCTCTCTGCGGTTGGCTGCATTTCCAGCCAGCATGGTTATGATTATAATTAGAGTTCAAGAGTCCTATTTCATTTCAAAAGGATTCTGGGTATAGTATGCAACCTACCAGAGGAATGTGTCCAGAAGCAGATCCCTGTGGCAGGTGTTTTTATTGGGGCCCATTCACTTCTTTTACTACAATATCAGGAGTGTCTGTTTCTATTACACTCATTATTTTCAGACGCCACGTGAGAAGAGATTTTCCATATGTGAGGTTTCCAATGGTGACCACTGAGCAAAATGAACCACTCTCACTCTCTAAATGAACAGTAGCTTAGACAAACTCACTTTTGCAGAGCCAGGCCTTTTATTAGCAGCCACAGAATGGTCTGTAAATGGGAAGAATTACTCTGCTCATGCATCTGTCTCAGGGAAAACATTCTTTAGCCTGTCAAGACAGTGGAACCTCTTATTAGAAACTCTAGCAAAGTCAATTTCTCCATTCTTGCCAACTAAAGGATTTGGAACACACTGCACTGCAGACCCTAAATTAACAATCCAGCTGGAAGGGCAGCCGAGCCTCCTGGATATGGGTGGGGATGTGCAAGTGAACAGGATTCAAATCAAAGCTGAGCCCAACCTGGGCACTTACATATTTCAACCCCCCTTACCCACTTTTCTGCAGAGCCCTTTGATCATAACTCTTCACTGGGCAGAGTGAGGGTAATGGCAAGAGCCATCCCATCTTCAGAGACAGTTGACCTTTTTTTTTTTTTTGGCTCCTTTTTATCTAATGATTTCCAATTGTAGCAAGCAGTCCTAATGAGCCACCAAAGTCATATGAGTCCTTGATGGGATTTCTCTGAGTAAAAGAAAAACCCTTATCTATAAGTACAAAGAAGCAGGTTGGTTTTGAGCGGCACAATCCTCTTTGCATTGATCCTTCTAAGCCCTGGATTAAAACAAATGCATACCTGTGTTTCAAGTCCACTCTGGGTTGAAGCACCTTGTTGATGAGATGCCACACGAAGCAATTGTGATAGAAGATTTCAACCCAATGTCCACCGCCTTCTCTGATCCCCAGTTGCAAGTCATGACTATTTGCTACCAAATCTGCTGTTTGATGCAAGAGCTGGCACTGTCTGTTTCACACCAGGATGAGAAGTGCAGTCATGCCCTGAAACAGGACGAAACGAGAGTTAGCCACGTTGTTGGGGAGATGGCTGAGTCAGAACACAACTTCAGGTGCACCCAGTAACCTTTTCCTACGGAGGGCCCCAGCAGCTGACAACCGAAATGTCACTCTGCTGGTTCTCCAGTCAGCTTGCTTCAAGTCAGCACACATCTGGGTCCCCTGGCGCCAAGCCACACCCTGCATCAGGCACTCAAAGTTAGAGAGAGTAAGACCCTTTTCCCGTCTTCAAGGAACTTCTGGTATAACTCTAAACTCTTAAAAATGAAGTTCCAGAAGCGTAGGTAACTTGTTCAAGTTATACTATTCGCAACTGACTGATCCAGTATTTGAACCCAAGTTTATTTTTTAATTCAAAGCCTCTCCCTTTTCAACTATACCACATTGCATCCTCTTACCACACTGCAATATACTTACTTATAATTGTCTTTCAATTGTAATTATTAAAATTTATTTAGCTCCCCTTACTTAAGAGGTGATTGGCAGAGACATAAATTAGGAGGTAAAAGTATCATAAATGTTGAAAGTATTTGCATATGTTAAATACATTTTATATATTTAAAGTAAAAGTGAAATTGGCTTATCTCTGGGTGATTTAAAAGATGTTTATTTTATTTACACTATTCTGTATTTTTTGTTTTCCAAAAAGACTTGCATTGCAATATATTTTGAAATGTGATTTTTAAAATAAAACAAAATGCACACGAAAATCCTTTTTAGGCCATAAAGTGCCAATAAGTATCAGCTGCTAAATTCATTGCGTGTAATAAAACACTCAATGCATGGATTAGGTTAAAAGCAGATCTAATCAACTTGATAGTTTGTGTTGATAAATGCGCAGGTGTTCTCAGAGCAGTGAGACTGTGGTTTTCAAGATCACACTATCTCAGATTGGGAAAGCCTGGCTTTGTCCGGCTTTATCTGGGGATACAGAGCAATCGAGGCCAAATCCTCCTCAAATGTTGCGGTGTCTAGAAAGGGGGAGGTCTCTCGCTCATTGGCAATCCTGCATTTTACAGAAGATTTTATTTCTTTCTGTCTAGAAATGCTGACTTGTACTGTCACATCTGTTATAGCCACCTTCCCTCAAGGAGTCCTGGTAGGAATCTGGCTTTAATGACACTGCATGTGAGTTTGGGTTCCCAGCTCATTGAACAGATGGGATAATGGCGAGTTTACCACTGGGACAGGCATGCTGAAACTTCTTCATTTGGGACATAAGCCTTCTTTTGCCTCCTTGGAAACCAACCACTGCTAATAAATGCCACTCCTCTTATCTCTCTGAGGCCTAACAATCTCCTCTCACAGACTTACTGATCTTTGACCAACCAACCCTTTGTGTATAGAAGAAAGAGTCCCGTCTCCTTGGCAAAAGGAAGTTTGAGCTTTCCCAGGCATTCAGGAGATCAAGGCTGGTGATAGAACCTTCTAAGGGGTGTTGGCCTAGCATTTCTGGGCTTTCACATTTATATACCAAGGTTGCGGAAGGAACATATTTCTAATTTAATCTGAGGCTCCTTCTAGACGCTTATTATATTGGTACATGCTTTCAAACAGAGTGCTTTCTAGCTGGGAGGCAAAATGCTATTTTACACTAGTGTTATGGTTTCAAAGGCCCATTCAACTCCACTGTTATTTCACTTAATCCTTACAGCCTCCCTATAGGAAACTTATTACCTACTTTACAGTGAGGAGAACAAGTCTTAGAAGGCCTGGATGGCAAGTCCAAGATTCAAGGGCAAGAATCAATTCCGGGTCTTCTGACTACAAATGTTGAGCAATTTCCACCATTTTTCTAAAATTAAAAACCTGCCCATAAGTTACAGCTGAGCATGGATGGAATGGGAATGATCCCTGTCACAATGAAGCTAGCTGGTGCAGAGAGGAAAGAAACCGAGGTCTTTTGAGCTTCTGCTCTGTGCTGGCTGGTTTATTTCTACACGTCTTTCTCTCATGTGAAAGGAAATAAGCAAAGATTCAATTACCTCCCCAAAGTCCTATAGCTTACAAGTGGCAAAACTAAACTGACAACCAGTCTTTCTGGCCCTCAAACATGCAATCTTCTTAGCACCCTTTACATTTTACTACAACTCACAGTGCCTTTATGCACACGGCAGATTTTAAAAGTCTTGGCAAACAAAAGTTCTGTTTTGGAAAGGTTGGTGTTCCTAAGGACACACACATATCACTTCCTTTCCCCTAGCCCTCCAGCACAGTTTCTTTTCTTTCCTTTCTTTTTCTTTTTTCTGTTTATTTTTTTATTATTTTTGAAATCTTTAATATAATTTATTGTCAGGTTGGTTTCCATATAACACCCAGTGCTCATCCCAACAAGGGCCCTCCTCCGTGCCCATCACCCACTTTCCTCTCTCCTCCAACCCTTATCTACCCTCAGTTTGTTCTCAGTATTTAAGAGTCTCTTATGATTTGGCTCCCTCTCTCTCTGTAACTTTTACCCCTTCCCTTCCCCCATGGTCTTCTGTTAAATTTCTCCAGATCCACATATGAGTGAAAACATATGGTATCTGTTTTTCTCTGCCTGACTTATTTTCCTCAGCATAGTACCCTCCAGATCCATCCACGTTGCTACAAATGGCCAGATTTCATTCTTTCTCATCGCCATGTAGTATTCCATTGTATGTATAAACCATGTCTTCTTGATCCATTCCTCAGTTGATGGACATTTAGTCTCTTTCCATGATTTGGTTATTGTTGAAAGTGCTGCTATAAACATTTGGGTACATGTGCCCCTATACATCAGCACTCCTGTATCCCTTGGGTTAATTCCTAGCAGTGCTATTGCTGGGTCATAGGGGAGTTCTATTGTTAATTTTTTGAGGAACCTCCACACTGTTTTCCAGGGCGGCTGTACCAGTTTGCATTCCCACCAACAGTGTGAGAGGGTGCCCGTTTCTCCACATCCTCGCCAGCATCTATAGTCTCCAGATTTGTTCATTTTAGCCACTCTGACTGGCATGAAGTGGTATCTCAATGTGGTTTTGATTTGTATTTCCGTGATGATGAGTGACATTGAGCATCATGTCATGTGTCTGTTGGTCATCTGGATGTCTTCTTTGGAAAAGTGTCTATTCAAGCCTTCTGCCCATTTCTTCACTGGATTATTTGTTTTTCAGGTGTGGAGTTTGGTTAGTTCCTTATAGATTTTGGATACTAGCCCTTTATCTGATATTTCTTTTGCAACTATCTTTTTCCATTCCATCAGTTGCCTATTAGTTTTATTGATTGTTTCCTTTGCCCTGCAAAAGCTTTTTGTCTTGATGAGGTCCCAGTTCATTTTTGCTTTTGATTCCCTTGCCTCTGGAGATGTGTCGAGTAAGAAATTGCTGTGACTGAGTTCGAAGAGGCTGTTGCCTTCTTTCTCCTCTAGGTTTTTGATGGTTTCCTTCCTCACATTCAGGTCCTTCATCCATTTTGAGTTTATTTTTGTGTATGGTGTAAGAAAGTGGTCTAGATTTATTCTTCTGCATGTTGCTGTCCAGTTCTCCCAGCACCGTCTGTCTTTTATCCATTAGATACTCTTTCCTGCTTTGTCAAAGATTAATTGTCTATACATTTGTGGGTCTAATTCTGGGTTCTCTATTTTATTCCATTGTTCCATGCGTCTGTTTTTGTGCCAAAACCATACTGTCTTGATGATTACAACTTTGCAGTAGAGGCTGAGGTCTAGGATTGTGATGCCTCCTGTTTTGGTTTTCTTCTTCAATATTACTTTGGCTATTCAGAGTCCTTTGTGGTTCCATACAAATTTTAGGATTGTTTGGTCTAGCTTTGAGAAGAATTCTGGTGCAATTTTGATTGGGATTGCATTGAATATGTAGATTGCTTTGGGTAGTATTGACATTTTAACAATATTTATTCTTCCAATCCATGAGCATGGAATGTTTTTTCCATTTCTTTGTGTCTTCTTCAATTCCCTTCATAAGTTTTCTATAGTTTTCAGCATATAAATCTTTTACATCTTTGTTTAGGTTTATTCCTAGGTATTTTATGGGTTTTGATGCAATTGTAAATGGGATCAGTTTCTTTTTAATGTTTTTTTAAAACTTATTTATTTCTGAGAGAGAGAGAGAGAGAGAGAGAGAGAGAGACAGCATGACCAGGGGAGGGTCAGAGAGATAGTGAGATACAGAATCTGAAACAGGCTCCAGGCTCTGAGCTGGCAGTCAGCACAGAGCCTGATGCAGGGCTCAAACCCACGAACTGTTAGATGATGACCTGAGCTGAAGTCGGACACTTAACTGACTGAGCCACCCAGGCGCCCCGGGATCAGTTTCTTGATTTCTCTTTCTGTTGCTTCATTATTGGTGTATAAAAATGCAACCGATTTCTGTACGTTGATTTTGTACCCTGCGACTTTGCTGATTCATAGATCAGCTCTAGCAGACTTTTGGTGGAGTCTGTCAGGTTTTCCATGTAGAGTATCATGTCGTCTGTGAAGTACGAAAGTTTGACTTCTTCTTTGCCAATTCTGATGCCTTTTATTTCATTTTTGTTGTCTGATTGCTGATGCTAGGACTCCCAGCATTATGTTAAACAACAGGGATGAGTGCACATCTTGTCGTGTTCCTGATCTCAGGGGGACAGCTCTCAGTTTTTCCCCATTGAGGATGATATTAGCTGTGGACTTTTCATAAATGGCTTTTATGATGTTTAAGTAAATTCCTTCTATCCCTACTTTCTCAAGGGTTTTATTAAGAAAGGATGCTGTATTTTGTCAAATGTTTTTTCTGCATCTATTGGCAGGATCATATGGTTCTTATCTTTTCTTTTTTTAATGTGATGTATCACATTGATTGATCTGTGAATTTTTTTTTATGTTTTATTTATTTCTGAGAGAGAAAAAGCAGGAAAGAGAGAGAGAGAGATACAGCATGAGCAGGGGAGTGTCAGAGAGAGGGGGAGACACCGAATCCGAAGCAGGCACCAGGCTCTGAGCTGTCAGCACAGAGCCCGATGCGGGGCTTGAACCCACGAACCGTGAGATCAGGACCTGAGCCGAAGTCGGGCCCTTAACTGACTGAGCCACCCAGGCTTCCCGATTGATTTGTGAATATTGAAACAGGCCTGCAACCCAGGAATAGATCCCACTTGATCATGGTGGATAATTCTTTTTGTATGCTGTTGAATTTGATTTGCTAATATCTTGTTGAGAATTTTTGCATCCATATTCATCAGGGATATTGGCTTGTAGTTCTCTCTCTCTTTTTTTTTTGCAGGGTCTCTGTCTGATTTGGGAATCAAAGTGATGCTGGCTTCATAGAATGAGTCCAGAAGTTTTCCTTCCATCTTTATTTTTTGGAACAGCTTCAGAAGGATAGATATTAACTCTGTTTTAAATGTCTGGTAGAATTCCCCAGGGAAGCCATCTGGCCCAGGACTCATTTGTTGGGAGATTTTTGATAACTGATACAATTTCTTTATAGTTATGGGTCTGTTCAAGTTTTTTATTTCTTCCCATTTGAGTTTTGTTAGTGTGTGGGTGTTTAGGAATTTGTCCATTTCCAGGTTATCCAGTTTGTTGGCATATAATTTTTCGTAGTATTCCCTGATAATTGCTTGTATTTCTGAGGGATTGGTTGTAATAAATCCCTTTTCATTTGTGATGTTATCCATTTGGGTCCTCTCTCTTTTCTTTTTGAGAAGCCCAGCCAGAGGTTTATCAATTTTGTTTATTTTTTCAAAAAACCAACTCTTGGTTTCATTGATCTGTTCTAGTGGGTTTTTTTGTTTTGTTTTGTTTTTGGATTCTATAATTTCTGCTTTGATCTTTATTATTTCTCTTCTTCTGCTGGGTTTGGGGTGTCTTTGCTGTTTTGCTCCTAGTTCCTTTAGGTGTGCTGTTAGGTTTTGTATTTGGGATTTTTCTAGTTTCTTGAGATAGGCCTGTATTGCAATTTATTTTCCTCTTAGGACTGCCTTTGCTGCATCTCAAAGGGTTTGGATTGTTATATTTTCATTTTCACTTGTTTCCATATATTTTTAAATTTCTTCTCTAATTGCCTGGTTGATCCATTCATTGTTTAGTAGGATGTTCTTTAACCTCCATGCTTTTGGGGTTTTTTCAGACTTTTTCCTGTGGTTGATTTCAAGTTTCATAGCGTTGTGATCCGAAAGTGTGCATGATAGGATCTCAATTCTTTTATATTTGTTGAGGGCTGCTTTATGACTCAGTACATGATTTATCTTGGAGAATGTACCATGTGCACTTGAGCAGAAAGTGAATTCCAGTGCTTTGGGATGTAGAGTTCTAAATATATCTGTCAAGTCCATCTGGTCCAGTTTGTCATTCAGGGCCATTGTTTCTTTAGTGATTCTCTGTCTAGTTGATCTATTCTTTGCTGTAAGTGGAATATTAAAGTCCCCTGCAATTACCACATTCTTATCAATAAGATTGCTTATGTTTGTGATTAATTGTTTCATAAATATGGGTGATTCCGAATTCGGTGCACAGACATTTATAATTGTTAGCCCTTCCTGATGGATAGACTCTGTAATTATTATTATATATGCCCTTCTTCATCTCTTGTTACAGCTTTTACTTTAAAGTCTAGTTTGTCTGATATAAGTATGGCTACCCCAGCTTTCTTTTGACTTCTAATAGCATGATAGATAGTTCTCCATCCCCTCACTTTCAATCTGAAGGTGTCCTCAGGTCTAAAATGAGTCTCTTGTAGACAGGAAATAGATGGGTCTTGTTTTTTTTAATCCATTCTGAAATCCTATGTCTTTTGATTGGAGCATTTAGTCAATTTACATTAGTGTTATTATTGAAAAATATGGATTTAGAGTAACTGTGTTATCTGTAGGTTTCAATCTTGTAGTGATGTCTCTTGTACCTTGTTTTCCTTGCAACTTTTCCCTCATAGAGTTCCCTGTAGGATCTCTTGTAGGGCTGGTTTAGTGGTGACGAATTCCTTCAGTTTTTGTTTGTTAGGGAAAACCCTTATCTTTCCTTTTATTCTGAAAGACAGGCTCGCTGGACAAAGGATTCTTGGCTGCATATTTTTCCTGTTCATCACATTGAAAATTTCCTGCCATTCCTTTCTGGCCTGCTAGGTTTTAGTAGATATGTCTGCTACTACCCTTATGTGTCTGCCTTTATATGTTAAGGCCCGTTTATCCCTATAAACTTTTATCCCTTTCAGAATTCTCTCTTTATCCTTGTATTTTGCCAGTTTCACTATAATATGTTGTGCAGAAGATCGATTCAAGTTATGTCTGAGGGGAGTTCTCTGTGCCTCTTGGATTTCAATGTCTGTTTCCTTCCCCAGGTCGGGGAAGTTCTCAGCTATGATTTGTTCAAGTACCCCTTCAGCCCCTTTCTTTCTCCTCTTCTTTTAGAATTCTTATGATACAAATATTGTTCCATTTGATTGCATCAGTCAGGTCTCAAATTCTCCTTTCATGCTCCTGGATCAATTTATCTCTCTTTTTCTTGGCTTCTTCTTTTTCTATAATTGTATCTTCTTATTCACCTATTCTCCCCTCCGCCTCTTCAATCTGTGCTGTGACTGCCTCCATTTTATTTTGCACCTCATTTATAGCATTTTAAAATTCATCATGATTATATTTAACATCCTTGATCTCTGCAGTAATGGAGTCTCTGCCGTCTTCTATGCTTTTTTCAAGCCCAGCAATTAATTTTATGACTATTATTCTAAATTCTTGTTCAGTTATGTTGCTTATAGCTGTTTTGATCAATGCTGTAGCTGTCACTTTTTCCTGGAATTCCTTTTGAGGAGAATTCCTCTGTTTTATCATTTTGGCTAGTTTTCAGTCCCTTGTAAGTTTTAAAAGCTTGTTATGTGCTCTGCACCTGTGAATACTGCTATATTAAAGGGGGCTCATACACTGGCAGGGGCCTAGCTGTGTTTTCTGGAGACTGTTACTTGCTCTCTGCTGTTGTGACCTTGGTTATTTTATTTCCCTACATGTAGTGATGTGTTGGGCTCTCCACCAGGTGTGCTTTGGTTTGTTCCTTGAAGTAACAACCCTGGAAAGGAAAACAGACAAGCAAACAGAAAATGAAGACACACAAGCTCACAAACAAATAAAACAAGCAAGCAGACAAAAACAAACAAACAAAAAAACAAACTAAAAGCAAAAGACCATCTAAAAGCATAAAATCAGAATCACCAGCTGCAAGTAAATAACAGGGTACAGGTGGTGCTGATGGAAGAGCATATATAAAGAGAGAAATGATGGGGCAGGAGAAAGAGAAAAACATTGATCAGGAAGAGAGACTAAAAGGTTTAAGCCAGAGAGAGATAAAGGAGAGTAAGAAAGGAAGCGAGGAAAAAGAAACGAAGATAACGTTACCCAGAAAAACTATACGGCCTGATTATTCCAGAGAGAGAGAAAGGAAGGTAAAGAGGGAGGTGTAAAGCATGCATCAAGAGGATGGACTAAATTTGTCGGTTTAAGCAAACCACTAACCAGAGTAAAACCAGCCTAGAGGAGGAGATAAGGAGAAAAGGGAGAATATATCTAAATAACAAGAACTGACCTAGAGTTAATCCAAGCAGTGCCGCTGTGCTGGTCTGGGCGAGGGGGCCGTCTGGTTCATAGCAGTGATCCGGCTTGGGTAGATAAGCGGCTACCCAGCGCAGATGGGCGTGGACTGGTGTAGGCGCGTCCCGCCTCCACTGTGTGGGGGGAGGGGGGGGATGGATCCCTAAGGCCCCGCCTTGGTGGTTGTGGGGAGAAAAATGGCGACCCCCAGTCCCCTCATCAAGGACCAAATGTCCCACTGTGGATCCGTCCTCACTGCGCCACTGGCGCAGTCGAGGCGGCTGTCTCGCTCTGCCGTCTCCTATGTTCCACGCTTCGCTGGATTTTAAACTCCCGCTCTGTGTGCGTTAACGATGCCACCGGAAATGTAATCCCGCCGCTGTGGTGCAACACTTGTGGGCTGGGACTGGTTCCTCCTGCTGCCGACTGCGTCCCTGATGCACCACTGAACCCCGAGGTGACTCCCCTCTTCTTCCCCAGGAAGGCGAACAGGACAGCCGGCCCCAGTCTGAGGAAAGCCCCGTAGTTAGAGATAGGATGACAGGATCCTTCTCCGTCCCAGGCCGAGGTTTTTCTCTTGTCCAAATACAGACCTGAGCTTCCCCAGCCACTCTTTCTCTTCCCTTTGTCTTTCCGCAGACCAGGATCCCTCCTCTCCATGCTTCCTTTTAATCACCCCACCCCCAGTTCGCAATCACACAACGCTGGGGCCATCTGGATTTCCCGTTTTCTTCCTACTAGAATCCGTCTCCTTTCCTCCCAGACTTGGGGTTCAGAGTCCTTTGGCTTCCACCCTTCTTTGGTTGAGAGGTGCGGGAAGTACGGAGCCCCCTACTTCTCCCCCATGTTGCCCCCCCGCCCCCGGGCCCTCCAGCACAGTTTCTATACGACACTGCTGACGAGTTCTTCTGTCCCCTTGCAGCCTGTGTGGCGGTGGTATCCGTGATCGAACAGCTTGCTCAAGTTCACAACTCCACGGTGGAGGCCTCGATGGAGAGACTGTGCAGCTACCTTCCTGGTAAATAAAGAAGGGTCATGTGGCTGTGGGTCGGCTTTGTTGTCTCACTATGACTGAGTTAGTTATGTGAGTTGATATTCTTATGGGGCTCATAGAAATTACACACACACACACACACACACACACACACACACACACACCACTCGAGGCAATTTTTTCCCCAGACATTCATTTTCCACCATCGCAGAATAAGGTTGTTAAGGATATTTAGGGAATAAAATGTAGACTGGCCAATTGTTTCATGTTTCACATTTGTAATGATTTGACCAATTGGGGTTCATTGCTTTAAGTACCAAGAAAGTCAAAATAATAAAAATGGATAATTTTCAATGATTTGTGTTAATTTAACCAAATGTAGATTCCTAGATACATGCACAGCCTTACCCACACAGAGCTTTATGTAAGTGGAGAAGACAAGTGATCTTAAAAACAACAACAACAACAGGAAAATAATCTGGAAACATTCCATGGATTTGAATTGGATCTCAATAAATTCATCTTACCCATTCTCCAAAAAGTAAGGAATGGATTGATGATGTACACAAGTTGTATATTCTCTTTCAATCTCCACAAAATTGAGAAAATATTGATTCTATTTCCCTTATAGAATAGTATTAGGTGAGCAGTCACAGTGAGTAAACTTCTTTGAGAGTCAAATTGTCATTCCTTTAATGTGAAGAAACAAATCCATCAAGGATAAATTTTTTCAGAGGAAGGAGGCTTGGCTCCTGGTGATTGTGTCTTTGGTTTACGTAGCATGCCATGCCAGTAGTCCCACAGCATTTTCAGAGGATTTGTTGCATTCAGTCACAATATGCATCCACAAGCTAAATGTCTTGGAATTTAATCTAAAGACTAAGAGAGAATAATACACACACATGTGTTTACAATGTCCCAGATTGATCATTGCTAAGATTGTGACTTATTTACATCATCTTTCCCTTGTGGAATTAGACTGTGGCAGATAAACTAGAAGCACCCTTTGGCTTCCTCTCTCTCCCAGTTCCATTCTCCTTCCATCTCCCCAGAGGGAACCACTCGCATAAGCGTGATGGGTATTGTTCTTGTCAAAAGCAATACTTTCACATTCACTTGTATGAATACGTAAACAATGTATGGTATTGTTCAGTGGGTAATCTTTTAACTTTTTTTTTGGAGGAAACAAATCAAACGTAGAAAACTGCACAAAATAAATATATAACTTTATTAGTTATTAAAATGTGAATACCCTTGTTAACATAGCCCAGGTCAAGAAGGAACAGATAGGTAGCTACTCTAGAAGCCCCATTCCATCATAAATGCATTCTTTTACCTAAAGGAACCACATCCTGAATTTTACTGTACTCATTTTTTTGCATTGCTCTGTAGTTTTATTACCCAGGTGGGCATTCGCTACACCCTAGTCTTGCCTACTCTTAACGTTTTTCATATGTCAAGCCCTGGGATGTCTGGGTAGCTCTGTTGGTTGTTTCTGCTCAGGTCATAATCTCATGGTTCTTGGAATTGAGCCCCGCCTTGGGCTCTTTGCTGACAGCATGAAGACTGCTTGGGATTCTCTTTCTCCCTCTCTCTCTGTCTCTCCCTTGCTCGTGCTCTGACTCTCTCCCAAAAATAAATAACTAAACATTTTAAAAAATATTTTTGGTATGTCTCTTCAGTTCGTTTTAATCTCTAACTTTCCTTTCCATCCCTCCCTTTCCATTTAATTTAATTGTGGGATTTGCCTTGTAGAGTTTCCCACAGTCTGGATTTTGCTGATTGTTTCCCTGTGGTATGATTGAATATATTGCTCTGTGTTCTTTATTTCCTGAAAATTGCAGCTAGATCCAGAGGCTTGATCAGACTCCAATTTGATTTCTTTGACAAGACTATAAATGGTGATATTTTCTTTCATCAGGAGGCCATTATAAGTGGCTTTCTCTTTTTTCTTTTTCTGACATTAGCAGCTCTTGATGCTCACTAATCAAATCTGTTAGTTCACTGGGGGTTGCAAAATGATGCTATTCTAATATATCATTTTATTATATTTAGTGGTGGAAGTACCTTAGAGACACTTTGCCTCATCATCATCATATTAAAACTTTTTGAGTTTATTTATTTTTTGGGAGGGCAGGGAGAGGCAGAGAGAGAGAGAATCTTAAGCAGGCTCCACACTATCAGCGTGAAGCCCAATGCAGGGCTCAAACTCTCTAACCATCAGATCATGACCTGAGCCAAAATTCAGGGTTGAACACTTAACCGAATGAGCCACCCACGTGCTCCCATCATATTTTAGAGATGGGTTTTCCTCCCAGTCCACAATGGTATTGTTCATAGTAGGAAAGGCAGGATAAATGCCAGATTCCTTTGCTCTACTTGGCAGTTTTCAAATGATTCGTTGCCTTTCTATTAGTGTCCCATAGTAGCCAATTCGTTTTCTTTAAAAATATCATTCCGAACTCTTAAAATTTTGCGTATTTGATGAGTTTGGGTCTATTTCAATTATTATCCTTTCCTAACTCAAATTGTCTCATGTTTGACCAGTAGGAAGTTCCTCACACTAGCTCCTGAGTCCTTGCGATATGAACCTAAGTGACCTTTGATAGCTTCCTCATTGATTAGTATGACAAGATGCCCCAGCCCTGTCTTATACATTTCCAGTGCCAGGCTTGAAACCAGTCATTTCCCTGAGGAACGCTGGTTTCTGTTAGTGGGAAATTGTATTTTAAGACCACAATCTGAGTACATAGGAATGTTCATTGCTACTGAGTTGGTCATTCTTTGTAAGCCTCTTCAGTAGACAGTGATAGAAAAAATACATATAATTACAAATATGTATACATACATTTACCTATATTATATATGATTTTAAGGTAAAATGTCTCATGAGGTCATACTGACACTTCAAAGTCAAATTCAGGCCTACAGGATTTTTTTTTTCGGCAGGATTTTCTTCTTAACCTCTCCTGTATCAGATCTGTATCTCCTTTCTGCACTCAAAGTCCTAGTTCTCAAGGACAAAGGGATAAAAATATCCAAAATTACTCATTCACCTATCCATCATTACACGTATAACAGTCTCTGAATATCAATCCTAGTGCTGCTACCATTAATATACATTATAATCACTGAAAGCAATCAAAATTGTTCTTTGCATATACTCTTCCCGTTTCTCCACACTTGGTAATCATTGCCCTCTGTGACCTGAGCATACAGGTGTTCCATGCCATATCCATTCCCTTCTCACCCCCAGTCAGTCTCAGTCCCATCAGCAACTATTTGATTGATGTTCACCTTCAGCCCTTATGAGGATGACTCTCTAGCCAACTTGTTGTCTACAACTCATTCCTCAGGAAGGGCTCATGGGAACAATATTCCCTAAATTCTTGCATGTTAATAACAAGCTGCCTGTGCCCTTTACACTTGAAAGTCAGTTGTTTTTCTGGATGCATAAATCCTTGCCACACAATTGCTTTCCCTAAGTATCTTAAATGTGTCTTTAAAGAGCCTACTGATAATAAAGTTCCGTTTACTTGCAAACCACTTGCTGGTTTTGCCTAGAAGTTCAAAGGACGTTTTTTTCCTCTCTTCTATAAAATTCAGTCATCCAACTAGAATATGTTTCAGTGTTGGTTGTGGTATATTGATGTTCTCAGGCATGCAATGTGCTCTCAAATTTATTTTTTAAATAATTTCAGGAAAGTTTACTTGTTCAGTTTCCTTGATTTAGTTTTCTTTTTCAGGGATTTCTAGTATCTATATTTTGAATCTTCTTTGCCTAACCTTGATATGTTGCCTATCCCTTGAATACTACTCTCCTTTCATTTATTGTTTATCTTGAAAGTTTTCTCTTTTTCTTCCTTCCTTCCTTCCTTCCTTCCTTCCTTCCTTCCTTCCTTCCTTCCTTCCTGAGAAAGAGAACACACAAGCAGGAGAGAGGGGCAGAGGGAGAGAGAATCTTAAGTAGGCTCCGTACTCAGCACAGAGCCCTACTCAGGGCTCAGTATCATGACTATGAGATCATGACTTGAGCTGAAATCAAGAGTCAGATGCGCAATTGGCTGAGCCA